CCGGCCCCCAGAGCTCTCCTTTCTCACCCCTCCCACTACAGCCCCTCTCTGCTTTCCGGTAGCCCTGTCTTTTTTGACAATCACACACTTGCTTTTCCATACAGTTTTTCTCTGAATTCACAGAGGCTCTCACCGCCCTGAAATCGCAGGAATCAGTATCAGGACCCTTGCTGTGCTGTTTACAGAGTGCACGGGAAGCAGGCATTTCAGTGCCATCATCTCTTGTCACTTACCAGGCCGGTCAGAGCTCTGTATTCAGCTTGTCTAAGTTCCAGGAGGACACCTGTTAACTGCCAATGAAGGGGTCCACCTCTGCCACACAAAGGGCTCTTCCTGTCCTTTCAGACCTAAAGCCGGTGTGAAGGATTGTTTTGTTTCATTTTTTTGGTGTTGGGAATTGAACCCCAGGCCTAAGGAATGCTAGGCAAGTGCTTTAGCCCGGAGCTACATCCCCAGCCCAAAGGAAGGGTACTTGATTAATAACCTTCCTTTAAGATCATGCTGTAGGAGAGCTGGGGGTAGTGTTTTGCACACCTGTAATCCCAGGCTGTAGGAGGCTGAGGCAGGAGGAGCGCTATGAGTTCAAGACCAGCCTAGGCTACGCAGTGAGTTCCAGGTCAGCCTCAACTACATAATGAGACTCTGTCTCAAACCAAAAAAAAAAGGATCATGCTGTAAGAGAGGAAAACTGGTTTTGAGGAGGTTCTCCAAAGAATCTTGAATACAGTTTACAGGCTGCTATAGCACAATCACCATGGAAGGTTTATTTCTCCCTAAGCCTTTAATTCTGGGAAATTCTTTAGATATTGGAAACTAGAATGCAATAGAGTCTCCCCATGGACTCATCACTCAGTTTCGTCAGTTAGTGTCAGACAGCACTGTTTCTTCTACACCATTACCCACTCCCCCACTGGGGATACGGGAAGGCAAGTCTCAGATATCATTTCATCCTTCCATACTTCAGATAATGGTTCTTTAAAAAAAAGAAATCATAACCTTTAATTAAAAAATGAAATCATAATTTCTATGCCATCAAAATGAATAATTCCACAATACTATCAAACAAAGAATCTTAAAGTACAAATGTCCAGGCCCCACCCCAGACCTACTGAACCAGACTTTGCTTGTGGAATGTCAGAAGCTGTGTGCAGGGTTTTGTTTTGTTTTGTTTGCTTGCTTGCTTGTTTGTTTTTGAGACAGGATATCCCTAAGTTGCATCAGTTGGCTTTAAACTTGCAATCCTCCTGCCTCAGCCTCCCTAGTACCTAGGATTATAGGCATGTACCGCCCAGCTTTGCAGAATCAGTGATTCTCAAGTACTTTTTAAAATAAAATTCCTCAAGTACTTTTTTTTTTAGTAGCAGGAACCAAACTCATGACCTTGCACTTGCAAAGCAGGAGCAGTGCCACTGAGTTAAATTCCCGGCTCTCCTCAAGTACTTTTGAGGTTCAGAAGCTTCTAGGTCATTCTGCATAGGACCTCGTGGGCATCTCTGAAGGAACCAGGTATATAGTCCAAGGAGACCTGGTATTTCTCAGTGTATCAAAGTTTCAATTAATGAACTTTTTGTTAGGTAAACTCTTACAAATTGATTAAAATGCATTTTGAGAATACAGTGGAGAAAACCAACCTCAAACTCAGTTTCTCCAGTTACACTCTCACAACAAGGTTCTGACCCCAGGTGTGTGTACCAAGCAAGCAATTAAATCTGCAACAAATGCCAGCTGGATGCCCTCTGATCAGTTCACATCTAAATGGAGAAATGCTAACTTACATTCATTCATTTATTATAAAAGATATTACAAAGGATATCTGGAGCCTTTGTGTGCTTGGCTATCCTATTCTTCTGAACTGTTATAGAGACTTCATTACAAAAGCATGATGCAAGCATGCACAACCAAGTAGAAATGAGATTGGACACAAGGGCTGTGACCTTATGCAAACAGACCAGATGGGGAGATTCGGCAAGGCCTGTCTGTGCAGATTCCTCTTGGGCCCTCGGTTGTAGCAGCCTTTCTTCCTCCCCGGTGTGAGCAGGGCCCTCCGAAGTCAGGTGGGGTATGACCTGCTATCAAAGAAGGTCAGAAGGACTGGGGATTTAACTCAGTGGCTCCACCACCTTCCTAGCAAGTGCAAGGTCCCAAGTTCGATCCCCTATACCAAAAAAAAAAAAAAAAAAAAAAAAAAT